ACATAACATTGATCACGACCCAGTGATCGATCAATTGTAAAAACAGCTCCCCTTAAACTCTTAGGTAATAATTTCTGTCAATTATTAATAAGCTTGAAGCTAAGACCACAGACTTACTGAAAATATAATTCAATCAGTTTTTACGTATGTTTGTTTAAGTTCCTTAGCTTTATTACCGTATCGTACTTTATAAAATTAAATAAACATTACAAATTATTGCATAATATCTAACAATATTTTCGAATACAATTTGTTTTACTGGATGTTATTTAGTTATTGACTAGAGTATTTGAACCAATTTGTCACTTGATAAGTCCATACACTGTTAGCATCTCTGAACATATCAATGGGTGACATGAGTTTAAGCATCTGATAAAACATACGATTCACTCAGTTTCTACTTTAAGATCCCAATGACTTAAATACTGACTTATGATCATACCCTTTCTGGTATATACTACATATATGAGTATAACCGGCCTAAGTAAAATACTATCCGATCACAGAACAGTAATATGAGTTCAATATTTGTCTAATAGATTAACAGGCTTATTTTAGTTGATAAATTTCAATTAACCACATTGGTTCATCAGAAACCATTCATCATTTACTAGAAGAATTATTTGCCATAATGATACAACAACAATAAAAGGATTTGTGTTCAATAATATACATAAGACTATCAGTTTTATTAAATGTTCGATTAGGAGTGAATACCTCACTTGTACAAATCTAACAGCGTATTACATGTCAATTTGAAAGTTAATCGATATATATATATATATATATATCATTCAGGTCTCTCGTTTTCAGTCTCATTTATCTAAATGTTAGCTATGATTTCGACATAAATGTCCCTCCACCTACGATAAATACATTTGTATAGAATCCTTACATCATTTTACACTTAGTGTTTATTTTTCAAGTATTTTAAAATTACTTATCATAAAAAATACATTTCATGCTTATGAGATGGAGTACTTCAAAACCGCTATTATCAATCCCCTCCGCCTTATTGTTCACAAAGATTCACAGTAATACTTATAAGCAAACTCGTTGAAAACAGTGATACTCAACCAGGAGACAAACATTCTAATTTTCATTACTTTTCACGGATAAATCTAGTGACAATCGATGATTAGTTTTTTATGATTTATATTTGTACATTTTTCATTTGTAAATGTTGTGATTAGATCCATAAGTTAATACTGGCTATTGAAAACTGTAAATTGGAAGACTCAAATAAAAACACGAAGATCTTAGAAATCTTCAGAATATACTTTAACCAAACAAATCTTGAGATGCGCACTGCTGAGGAGTCCCACAATAGGACGAAACGGATCAGTGGTCTAGTGGTTAAGCGTTCACGTGCGAGACTAGTAGATCCTGGGTTCGGATCTCGTAAGGCGGGACTGTGGATGGGCACTGCCGAGGAATGCCACAATAGAACGAAACGGCCATACAGTGCTTCCAAGTTTTCCATGGTGGTCTAGCTTCAACTGACTAATGATCTTAACCATTGAAATTACTACAACCTCCACAAAATCCATCTGATATAAATCTTCAGATTTCATTTATTGTTGATTAATTGTTTTTATTTTATTTTACCTAGCTAACAGTAAATATCTGTTTCTAGCTATAGAAGAAATGTTATTACTTTAATAAGATATTTGAAAAGTACATTCACGTTTCAGATGATCAGGTCATATGAAAGAAAACTAAGTTCTAATAAATTAATGAACCAAGTATAAATTCGTACATTCAATTTAAAGTCTTACATTTTCATGCATAATTTAGCAACTCTATCTGACAACTAAAGCCAAAATAAACAGTATGACAATTAAAACTGATAGTTGAATCCTTTCACTACTGAACTATTATTTCTTCAACACTGATAATCCATCAAGATTAATTAGAAACAAACAAATGAAATTTAACATGTTCAACTTATCTTATATACGATATACATAAAAACGAATTGATGAACATTTACATGAATAAGATTTATAATAAATAGAATGTTTAACATAGCTATTCATTCTACTATTCATGTCTTATATACAAACGCTGCAATCAATTTGATCAATTTAATTGTTTTTTCTCGTCAAAATATTTTTTTTCTTTATTCCTTCTATACTCATCTAAATCTCACCATCTCTCCTTAAGTCTGTCTCCATCTTGATATCATGCTTAATTTCTTCAATTTAAACAAAAAGAAAACATACATAAATATAAGCTGAATAAAGTACATGGTATATTTTTATACTATTCTAAAAAGTAAAGTAAATATTCCATCTAATTACAAAATAAATTTCAGAACAATCACAATGATAAAGTTGGATAGTGGCTAGTAGTGGAATCAAGGATGCGCGTTTCATCCTATTTGGGACTCGTTTATCTTTGTTTAAAAAGCTTGTGACTTAAGGCTGTATCGAGGCAATCCGCACAGGTTTCACATATGCCAACATGAGACTGATCAGTTGAAGCTCTAAATGACAATTAGAAGGTACAAGTAAAAACAACACCAAGTGAATTACAGTGGTAGTTTGTGTACTTTCTATTCCCTCTGCTCTTTAAACAAACAAAAGGTTTGTTCATGAAATATATTAGGCGATAATAATAGATGCTATGAGAACAAAACTAACCGTAAACTATAAACGGATAAATATTAATAGGAGCTAATCACTGTTTAACAATATTTCACACAAATATTTTTTTTAATATTCACATGTTCAATCTTTATAAAACAAAGAAATTTGTTATAATGTTTCATAGTATATCCTGAAATTTTATCATTATAGTCAAGCATATAATATTAAGCATAGTAATATAATTATTAAGTCCGCCTAGAATTTCTCTGGGGCTACTGCCGGTCCCAAGCCTGGATAAAGGAAATCAACTATTAAATTATTTGAATATGGCTTACTTAATCAACTAATTTTTATTAGTAATTAGAAAATATAATTAGATAATGCCTAAATATGATATCTAACTTGACCAAAATGTTGATGAGTGATTTGGTTAATAAATTTTACATAAGTCATGCTAAAAATCATATTAAATACATACTCTATAAACTGCTGTCGTTAACTAGAATACTTAATTCGTAAACAGAGAGAGGTTTTGTGGATATTGTAGTAATTTTATAGTTGAATTCATGAGTCAATTAAAGATAGACCATCATGGAAAAACTGAAAGCACTAGCCAGCCGTTTCATCCTAGTATGAGAGGTCAGGCACTTGCGTACGAGACTGGTAGGTCTTGGGTTTGAACCTCATCCCAATATGGAACTCCTCAGCAGTACTCATTTACGATCCTGCCTCGCGATATTCGAACCCAGGATCTGTCGGTCTAGATCAATAAGTCAAAACGGCTGTCCAGTGCTTCCAGGTTTTCCACGGTGGTCTGGCTTTAAATGACTCATGAATTCAACTATTATATTAATCCGTAAACTTAAATTTAGTTTATTCTCTAATCAAACACCAACCTTCAAATATATTTTTGATTTTTCCTGTGAACTTTGTTACAAACGATCGAGTTTCAGTTCTGAGAGATTTATATAAAACACCAAACAATAGATGTGCTCTAAAAAATATTGAGATATATAACAGCAAATGTTTCAGCAACCGACTCATTGATGTCTTTATTAAAGCATCAGAACCCAGGTTGTACAATTCACTCTATTTGAGATTCGTCAGCTGGGTATACTTGGATCCTAACATTATCGTTAACATGGAGACTAATCCAGTAAATGCAGTGTCAAACATCAATTTCTCTACGTTACTAAGTTAACATATATATAATCTTTTACTCAAATTAATTATTACTGGTTCTTATGTAGGAAAATGAACTTAATATAGTTGTACTGTATTCATTTGAAATGTTCCAGTTAATGCGGAAAAAAAACATACATGATATGACTAGACAGTACAACAAACTTCAATCATACGTGTAAATCTTGAATTTTCATAGTAGGAAGTCACTGCATTCATCTCATTATCTTTTCGTCCAATTAACTTCGTTTAATGTACATTCTATAAGTAGCTTTAATGATCGATTCTTAACTCTTGGGTTACTGGTACAAACCCATCTCTCGTTACTTGGATTCAAACATCTAGTTAGTATTGATAAATGTATCTCATAGTAAAGTACAAGAACATGTACTTATTTTCTGAATTGCATCAACTAGTCACATTGAACACTGTTTTTTAGTAATAACAGACAATAACATTATTTTATATGACCTCAGAAAAACTTTACGATTCGTATCTTTGCATGGAATTCATTTCTTCTAGAATTAAGTGATCTAAGTTTCTACTAATTTTGAAACTTAAGATTAACCATCTGTAAAGATGAAAATTATTTGTGACTTTCTAATCATTATACTCTCATTTAATATAGTTTTATGTCATTATTCTATGATTCATGAACACTATCAATGCAAGGTTAAACCATTGAAATAATACAAGAAAAATACGTAAAAGTCTAAAAGTTTTAAGTGATAGTGAGGTTCTTATAATCATTAATCCATTCCAGAAGAAGAGGTTTTTGTGGATATTATAGTAATTTCAATAAGTGAGATTATGAATCAATTGAAGCTAGTTCAACATAAAAAGCCTGGAAGCACTGGACAACTGTTTCGTTTTAATATGGGACTCTTCAACAGGGCACATCCACGATCTCGCCTCTCGAGATTCGCACCCAAGACCTATGGATCTCACATTCGAACACTTAACCTCTAAACCACTGAGGAGTCCCACAATAGGGCGAAATGGCCATCCAATGCTTCAAGATTTTCCATGATGATCTAGCTTTAATTAACTCATCATCTCAACAATTTTATTTGTTTACAAGTGCAGTATCATACAAATCTTAATGAAATTAAAGAATTGATCAATAAAAAAAAACAAATAACAGTTGACAATTGAAATTTCATCATTAAAATAATCCCTCCTCTTTCAGCCCTTTCGTAAAACAAAATAAAATATATTAACACTTACCATTTATAAATGAATTTGGAGAAGAATTAGCTAATGGATAATCATTATTAAAATGATTTAATGAAATATCTTTACTATCATAATCAATATCTTTTATATTAGATTTAATTGTACAAGTTTTCAATAATACAGTATTTTGTAAATTATTATTTAAATGATTTAATGAATTAGTCATTTTTGTTGTTTCCAATGAATAAAATCCAGTTTTATTTTCATTATAAATTAATTGATTTAAAATTGCTTCATGATTACATTCAGAATTTTGATTATATAAAGTAAATGATTGATTCATTATTATTAGTAATAATTTCTATTAAATTTTTAATGGTTAACAAGGTAAGTTTCTATTATTTTTTTTCTTCAAGAATATCCAATCTATAAAAAAAAAATGGTTACCCTAAGATTAAATTGGCATATTAATTTTGTCAAAAATATAAAGAAGAAGATGATGATGAAGAAGAAAAAGAAGAAGAGAAAGAAAAAAGAGAAAAGGAAGAAAAAGAAAAACATACCATCATGTATTCAACTTTATACAAGAAATTAGAATAAATGCATCATTAAACAATGTGGTAAATTCTTTTTTTTTCTTTGGAAAGGATAAAAATTAAATAAACCAATCAACATTTAGAAATAAACATCTAATATTCATTGGTCATTTTATTTTATTCATGTTGGAAGTATCCCTCTTTTTACTCTATCCCTACATATGTATATATATATATAGAGAGAGAGAGAGAGGGAGAGCTAGATCAATCCATATATAGGAAATTTGTTATTCTGTGAATCTATTGAAAGGGAGAATAATAATATTCGAATAGAAATAAAAAAACAATCATAATATTATTAAGAAAACTAAATAGGGTGTTGAATAAATAACAATCTATTATATTAGAAATAGTGAAAGGAAGGTTTGAATATAACACCTTTGTTTTTTTTATTTTAAAAAAAATACTTTTAGACAAAATGTTAAATAAATGTAAATTAAGGCAATATTGAGGCATACGCACAGTATGCACATATGCCAATAACAGACTGATCAATTTCAATTCTAAAACATCAATGTGAAGATTCAAGTAAAACATTACCAAGTGAATTAAACTTCACCCCATTGCACAAGCAAGTGGCTATCAGGACTCAGTAGCTAAGTGGATAAGCAATGGCGTTTCAAGCGAACGGTACTGGGTTCGAGTTCCATAGTGAACATCAACTTCGATGCAGGTACATCCAGCTAACGAGTCCCAAAAAGAACGAAACGTGCGTCCTGGATTCCACTGCTAGCCACTATCCATCTTTGCTTAGAATGCTCGTAAATTAAGGCAATATCGAGGCATACGCACAGTATGCACATATGTCAATAAGAGACTGATCAATTTCAGTTCTAAAACATCAATGGGAAGATTCAAGTAAAACAATACCAAGTGAATTAAAGTTTATAAAGTTTTGAATAAATAAAATTCAATAGTTGAAATCATGAATGAATTTAAAATAGATAACCATGAAAAACCTCGTAGCACTTGATGACCATTTCATTTTATTCAGTTGATTTCATTCGACTTTATATCATTATATTACCACGAATAGTTTCTTTAACAATCAATGAATATGAACAATTGATATACAGAAGTTAAATTCTTAGTAGTATTAAACTTTATCTTGATTTACTTTAAATAATCTGTTATTTCTACTAGTGTTCTTATTTGCTGTGAAAAGTTATAAAGGAATTGTTTCCACAGTATTTTAACATTATAAACCGATCAGTTGGTTGTTACTTTTAAAAATATGTTCAAGATTTATTAATTCTGGATTGGTTGAAGTTACACATTGACACCATTGGATGCAGGCTCAGGGGTCTAGAGGTTAGGCGTTCGCGCTCGAGACCGATAGGTCCTGAGTTTGAATCTTGGATGTGCACTGATGAGGAATCCCATACCAGAACGAAACGGCCATCCAGTGCTTCCAGGTTCTCCATGGTAATCTAACTCATGAATTCAACTACTAAATTTATTAGTCTATAATAACTTACTCTTCATTGCGTAATCTTTATTCTAAAGAAAGTACAACAATGTACACTCAATGAATGCTTTTGTTGTTGTTCTTATCTGAAGATAGCCCGTGATAACATCTATTCTAATCACTTTTAATTATTCTCCTCAAACAAATTCATCTTTAACAATTGGATTCGATCATCACTTTTCTAAAAAAATGTTACTATTTAAAATTTAAACGGACATTCTCAAGTAACACTTCATTTGTGTTTAACTGTAAAATCTCATATAACCAATAATTGCATGAAAGGACGTTTTACCTTAGGTGATGAGAAATGGAAATTTTTCTGGAATTGACTAATACCATTTAAGTAATAATATCAATTACATTACAAGAAAACATGTCATCATTTCACACTTATAGATTAGAATTTAAAAAAGGCTTATGAAATTATAATTCCTAATGAAAAACTAAATAATACAACTTACGATTAATCCGATAACATAATATTAGTAAATATATGCACACTGTGCGTACTGCCTCGATATTGCCTATCAGGACTGAGTAGCTAAGTGGATAACGTGATGGCGTTTCAAGCGAACGGTACTGGGTTCGAGTCCCTGAGTGAACATCAACTCTGAGATGCAGGTACATCCAGCTGATGAGTCTCACATAGGACGAAACGCGCGTCCTGGATTCCACTGCTAGCCACTATCCATCTTTGCTTATAATTTAAATTCAGTTTCATAAAGCTAATTCATTATATTCTGAACAATACCTGAAACATTTTTTTTGTCAGTGAGATTTCATGATATAAAATGATAATAACAACCTATCAGATAACCTTGACCAATTGCTGAAAAATAATGTGATTAACTACAAAATACAAAATAAACATGTATCTCACTAAACTGTTTGTTCGTATAATTCAATTGTATTTCTTATATTACGTTATCAAACCAAATAAACTGTCAGTTATAGGGTCTTCTAATTAGTTTCCCAAATTATTATTATTATTTGCATTATCTGTTGGAAATTGTTAGGAATTATTCCATATTAGTCACTTAACTGACAATATTTTAATAAACCTGAGAAGAGTTTATTTATTCACGTCAAACAAACAAAACACATACCTCTATAAAACAAATCAAAGCTGAATACAAATAAAAAGAATTACAATAAGGAGAATATGTCCCATTCAAAGGTATTTACTACTATTCAAGAAGAAAAACAAATGTGATAACAAGCTTTGTTGCCTTTTTTCAGATGGCGCATCCAGATCCAAAAGCATTGATATAAATGGAAGCATATTATTATCTATTCTCTGCTAGTCCATACTAGTACATACATAGGTGAAAGGGAACCCTTTTTGCTTAACCTAGTAGTTCTCAAAGTTTATACAATTTATTGCATTTGTGATATTGCAATTGATTTCCTTCATAGATGTGTCTTTTATTTGTATCGAATGGAATGAAGTAAATGTGTTGGCTGGTTGGGAACATTGATTCCTAAGGACATTTAAATCCTTATAGGATTTTTAGTATATGAGCCATTACTTTTCTTAGGCGATTTCGCGACTGTATGTCAATTAAGCAGAAATGTTTTGACAAAGTTACTCAGGTAACCACTTTTGTGGAAGACAAACACGGAATGAATTTCTCCAATTTTTCAGCTATTAAAAGGTTGCAACGAATTTTTATCTCATATATCCAATGATGTACAAATGATAACCTAGATTCAGTGTCTTCTAGTACACAGTATACGAATGTGACTTGCGGAAGATGACTGACAATTTATCGTCTTTGCTTAGCTTGGTCGTGATGGATTAATGTAAATGGTCTGAGGTACTGAGATACTTGACTTACTTATGGTTTCGATGTCGGAGAATGTGGTTTGTTGGTGGTGTTCTTTGTTATATCAGAATGAAAACTAAAGAAACGACAACTTTCAAGACTAATTTATTGACTATTTTTATTATATTTATTCATATTATGTGGTTTTTAAGTGAATAAGTTACGATGTACACACATTTCATTTATCACAAGCTATAGGCCAACCCGTTAACTACCACCGTATGACTTGCTATTCATAGCAAGTCCTCAGTTTATTATTAATAGTCCTTCCTGCTCACAGTCACTTTTGGATTAATCATTTATGATTATTATTTCTCAGTTTGTTGTATGATGAGGTCTGGTATATATTTATATAAACTGCGTCTGCTTGGAATATAATATAACTGAGGCTTGTTACTGAGCTCTGGACTCAAGGCCAGAATGTAGGGAGTAGCTATGGAGTCGTGAAATAATAAGGACTTAGCAGTTGACTCAAGGTTGTAGCTGATCGACTTACAGACATTAAATCATAAAAGTCAGGATTCTGATCGGTGGTTTTGCCACGTGCTTTCGGTCATCAGTCATAAGACAAAATAGTGTTAGTAGAAAATTTCATGTTGAATTTGATGAGGGGTTCGCCTCGAAAATGATGAAATTGCACGAACAGCTCAAGAATAGCATATCGTGTAGGTTGTCAGACTAAGAACTAGAGGTTGCTATTCAGTACTGGGTTTAGGCAAGTGCCTTGAATCAATAAATATTGAATACTACGGGAAACTTAGTCTCCTACGAGTTATACTCTTGTAGCGGTAAATAAATCCACAAACTAAATAGCTCTGTAAGTTTTCGACATTGGATGCTGACCATATGTTTTAGTGGACTCATCTAGCTGAAGGCGCTCGGTCATGCATCCGCACCAGATCACGTGTGGTAACGCTGTATTCAACATCTACCGCAATCGCTAGCCAGATTAGATCAGAGATTTCCGATATATTGATTATCGCCAAATACACTCTTCCGATCTCCTCGACTCTGTCTTTTGATTTCTCTCGGTGGGAACAAAGTATATTATAAGGTGTTACTGGTAGAAGCGTTGTCAACCACTGAATACCTGTATCATCCTCACTCTCATGACGACTCTATATTTTCCACTCCTTTAAAAATTTCAATTTAATTTGTGAATCGTATAACGAGTCATGTCAGTTGATTGTCTTACACTATTTCTCTCCTACTCACTGTCGCCTTTCAAAACTAAGTAAATACGTTCCCTTAAATTCCGTTCACTTCTTGATGTTACAACTAGGTCAGCCTATTTTCTATGCCCATCAAACATTCATCTTCTACAGCTTTGAATATACGAAATGGTTTTACACCAGGATGTTTGAACTATTCCTCAACTACATCAGTTCGCAGTGTCTGGCGTTTTTGATTCGAGAGTCAGTTAGTTACCTCGAGACACTTTTATAGGTGATGT